TTGTGGACCCCATGCCCCCTGTAGCAAAAACCCCCCAAAAAAAAAAAAAAAAAACCTCAGCAATCATCATCCTTGCAGAAATAATATGTGTACCTTAGTAAATGGCAAGGTTCCAAACCCCGTTTTATAGATTATTACCTAAAAAGGTAATAATGAGGGAACCAGCAGTTAGTGTAATGGCTATGTCGCTGGACTCCCATGTAGTTGACCACAGTTCGCATCCCGGACCTGGTGGCTTAAAACTCACGCCGGGCACGTGTGCGTGCGTGCCCAAGATCCTGAGAGGAGAATGGAGAAGGGACTGCAGCATAGCCATCCCCCCTGGGGGGGTGATTTCTCACTTTCTGTCTCTATGTCTCTGTCTGTCTGGCGAGCACACACGCCCTATAGCAAAAACCTCTCCAAAAAAAAAGAAGGTAATAAGGACAGAATATTATTTTCTGAAAGTAAATGAGGACTTACACTACCATGTGCAAGTGTTTGTGTAACATGACATGCTGACTCTAAAATGTATATGAAAATACCAAGGGTCCAAAATAGTCAAGCCACTTTGAAGAATAAGAAGATAAGCTTAGCTCCTGCCTTATCATAAAGCTATGTAAATAAGATGGTACAATATTAGCATGAATAGGTCAGTGGAACCAAAGAGAGAACCCAGAAAGTCACAAAGATACAGATGCTTGATAGATGGCAGAAGTGTCCCACACAGCAGCTGGGAAGTAGTCTTTGCATTCCACCGTGCTAGGATAACCAGCTACCCAGGAAAACCCCTCAATCATTGTCATGAGTACATTCCAGGTGGAATCAAAAGCTTAATGTGAAAGGCAAAACTATAAAGCATTTTTTAACTAAGATTTTAAAAGAGGGCTGGCCCATAGCATGGTGGTTAAGGGAGTAGGATCCCATATGGTCAACTGCACTATTTGAATCCTGGCCCCAGTGACTTGGGGAATATTCCAGGTGTGTGTGTGTGTGTGTGTGTGTGTGTACACCTAAAGCTCTGATGGGATAGAGGAAAAGGAGAAATATTGCCACACAACTATGTCCCATTTCTCTCTGGTGGGTACACACACACTCTGGCAATAAAAACATGTTTTAAATTAAAGATTTAAAACAGTATCATCTTTTATCATTATCGCCAAGACTGCAAGATAAATTTCTTAAAACAAAACACCAGGCTAGTCCCATAGCTCAGTAGTTAAGGGAGCTAGATCCTACATGGTTGTCTACAGTTTGAACTCAGCCCTGGAGGCTTGAAAAACATACTAGGCATGTATGCATGCATGCCCAAAATCCTTACAGAAAAGAATGGAGGAAAAGGGATTGCAGCATAATGTCCCACTGGGTGGTACTCTCTGTTTTCTCTCGTGAGCACATGCACCCTCCAGCAATAACAATTAAAAATGAAGTTAAGGCCAACAGGTGGCACAGTGATTAAGGAGCTGGACTCACACATGGCCGAGAGAATGGAGAAGGGACGGCAGCATGGCCATTCTCCCGGGAGGTGATTTTTCACTCTGTCTCTACAGCAAGCATAGCACCTGTAGGAAACATCTCTAAAAAAAAAATAAAAAAA